GGATCACGCCACTGATCCTCATCAGTTCCCTTAGTTTTTTGTTGGGATATTCTCCCCAGAAGCTATTGCTTCTATACAAAAAACCTTTCATACCCAAATGTCTCTTGTAACAAGGCGAAGTACTTAGCTGACCAACGACATAAACTAGCCTCACTTCGAGGTTAACAAGGCATTTACAAACAATACCACACCTTTCCCACTCAATTGCACACAACGACTTTGTTGGTGTTGCTATACAGAAACAAACCAAACAGTTTAACCGTGCCTGCGTCTACAACTTCAGTAGTGTTGGCGGTTTATTTGGGATACCATTTGTATTTTGTTTTTGCAAAATAGTCAGGCTGAATCCCAGTTTGTTGTTTTTATAAAAAAACAACTATTTATTAGTGGGGAATGTATGGCATTGTTTGCCGAGGGGTAAGGCAGGGAAGAATATAGTTTCGGATCACGCCACTGATCCTCATCAGTTCCCTTAGTTTTTTGTTGGTTAGTTTTTTGTTTTTTTTTTTTTTTTTGAACGTATATGTAATTTTTATTTTCTTATTAATTTCTAAATTGATATTTTCTTTTATCTTTACTTTCAGATTTCTTTTTATAGTGCTCTTTTAACTCCCATTTCGCAGCGGTCTTAGCCAATGGAATACAAATTAACCCTACTTATCGGCGAGTTTTAAGAATAAATCCTATCGTATTATCTGGGTTTTCGTTATTAATTATTGATTTTCCACTTCCAGGTTGCAAATTGAATGGTAGTACAGGATGTTATTTGGCGGTTTATCCATTATTACTATTTGGCGGCGGCATCCACAGCACAGTACAAGAATACATCTCACCGTTATACAATCTGGCCGGACGTCCTCCATTACTTTAATTGGAGCGCCAGTAATAATTCTTTTAAATTAAAATTGTGTTCACAATTTTTTAGCTCAGTTAAAAAGAATGACCAATAAATAATCGTAAATTTGAAATAAGTGAATTGAATTTTATTTTCCAATTTGCGGCCACAGTAAGTTGACGAGGATTATTCTACTTAAAAAACTCTGATTTTTCTTTTTCTTTCCCTTTTAAAAACTCTCAAGAGACGCCGGTTTTCCCTATCTTCATGGATTTTCTTATTGTTTATCTAGCGAGCCCTATTACCATACGTCAATCACAAAACCTCTACTTGCAATCAAGGCGTATTTAATAAGGTGTAAGTGACAATCATATGGTTTCAAACTTTTTTCTTTATTGTTTGTAAAGTAAATTGTCAAACACATGTTCAGTATTACATTTCGATTTCAAAAATGGTATTTTTTAATAATAAAAATTAAAGAAAACTACAGTCATAGCACCATTCGCCGATTGGCCCACATATTTTATGTTATGCGTGGAAATGTCCATAAATCCCAACTACTTATGAAATCCAGGATATTTTGTTAGCCTATATTGGAATCGGCCCGTTGGTGCTTGTCACAATCCTCAGCGTAGGTTAAATACGCCTATAGAAAGATTTTATACGGTTAACACAATTTCCATGATTTAGTCCTTGACCGGCGATTGAAATTGAAGGACATAAAATTTTCATTAAGAAGGCAAGATTGAAGCCACTCCATAGAAAAAATAGATTGTAATTCACAATATAAACAACACCACAAGGAGCCATGGGCTGCATGTGGAAAACTTAAAATTATTCGCGACCAGGTCTTAAACTTTATTTATCATTGACCTAAAAACGCCAATAACCCAAGAATACAAAAAATCATTAATTATTCCTCAACGAATAGTTCTTGACAAAAATAAATTAATAATTGTTTTTGTTTATTTTTTTCAAAAACTTATTGTCAGCATGACAATTTAATATCTATAACAGCAATGTTGTTTTTGTAAAATATTTGTTGTTGTATCTGATGCATACACCTTATTAATACACCTTGCTTGCAATGCAACTCTGGGATTGGTAAAATAATTCCTTTATCCTAGACACCTGCATTTATATGTTGGTGGCTGCTGGAGTAACATGAACAGAAGTTCATGATGGAGTTTGTTTAACCAAAACTCCCCACGCAACATGGCGACTGTGGTCCTTCACAATTGAGCCGAACCTAAATTGGGAGTAAAAAAACTCGTTACTAACGAGTATTTAACAGTATATCGAATAATGCAATAGAAAATAAAAATACGTTATGCGATTATTTGAAGGATGTTGGATTTATATATGTAGTAAATAGACTACGTAAAATTTATTGAATGAATTGCACCGATTTTCGGTATTTTGAAAACGAAGCTTGCATGTCGTGTTCTTATAAGCAAACAATTATGCAACAGGGACACATTTCGGTATGAATGTAGGCACTGACGAAGTAAAATTAGTTTTTTTTTTCATATTTTAAGTTCAATGGATGATACTCCAACAATTTGTTTGAGAAACCGAAACAATTTTAATAAACATTCTAATTGTTATGCCTTTTATTATTTACTAATTTCAATCTGTGTTTCTTTGGGACAATTTCAGCATATTATTGCACAGCAAATCGAAAATCTTTCAAATTCGGTTTGTTGTTGTGATACTACATCATAGTACCACTTCATACAGTGTAGAACTTCTGTTAATAAATCGCCATTTTCCCTTCGTTTCCAAATGCGATTGAAAGAAGTTTCTAAAATGTATCAAACTATCCGTAGTTTTTCGAAAGAAATAAATCCAGAACATGTAGCCAGGAATAGTTGAATTTGGAACTCTGCGGACCAGCAAGAACATTTGTACACATAAAAAATCCTCCGAGTAAGACATTTAACCGATTAAATCAGTAATGAAACTTATTATACCCCCTACACTCTCAGACGGACGGACATTGCAATATCGAAATAAAATTGTATGTTTCATATACATTTGTAGTCTAAAAGTTCATACATCTTTATTGGGCATCCGGAAGTATGAGTTTGTTTTCCCGACTGGTATTTTACATTTATTCTGATGTCTGACCTGACCGGCATTATAGTACGTTTACATTTAACCGGATTTCGTTAACCCAGTGGGTTTCAATTGTCAATTCCTTTGCATATATGTCAAATAAATGTAGGTTAACCCGGTAAAAAAGTTCTAATGTATATGCCGTTTTAGTTCAGCATAAATTTTTTAATTCGGCCAATTTTGAGAAATTTCCATGTGGTTGTTTTGGTGTTTGTTTTACAACCAACACTTGTTACTTTTAATTAATATACCATGGGTCCCATTAGGGTGTTATGTATAACCGCTTTCAACTGTTTATAGATAACAAGATGTTACAATTATAATTACTGCCTAAAAGTATGCTATGAATTTGAAAACTACAAAGTGACAAAGACTAGCTTAATAAATCACCAAACATTAGCTGTGTCTGGTTACTTTTCCAGTAACATTTACTCAGTGAGTTCTATTTCAGAGAGTAAAGGCGAGTTTAGACTATTCCTTCTAAATCGACTTGATTTGTAAATCGGGATATCAAATCATAACTGTTTAGACTATTATTATAATGAAATAATGCTGATTTGTCAGCCGTTATTTGTTTACGTAGACATACACATTTCACTGCGTCCATGATGTCTGCGGCAATGTTTAATAATTTTTTAATAATTTTGTTAGAAACTGTTCTCTTTTAGGATACATAAAAACCTTTGTCGTTCTAAATTATTGTAATATTTACTATGAATGCGATAAAATTTTCAGCAGTTGACATATTTTTATCTGGCTGTTAAATTGAAAATTAACAATTTTAAAGCATACTTTAAGGAGAAAATATTATTTTTTGGGACAAAAGCAGGGTTGTATTTGAAATTATCTCGATTTAGCATAGGATTTAGAGATTCTGGATAGTACAGAGAAAAGTAAACAGACAACATCCAGTAAGATTTAGCAAAATATGTATCTCGTAATTTCAGTTAAAATGCTTGAAATGTTTTTTTAGACTTTTTAAAGAATAAAATTCATAAAATAAAAAATGTTTCTTGATTTTGTTCAAATTATAAAATTATCGGCTGATTAAATTACATCGAATTGTGCTGCATAAACCTTATTGGAGGAGATTTATCCAGTAACATTCAGTAAGTTCTCAGCGTAGAACTTTCAAACTAGCTCTCCCTTTTCGCTCTCTCATACTGGACTTTGGAGTAAACAGACACAGCTATTAGGTGTGTCTGGTTACTTTTCCAGTACCATTTACTCAGTAAGTTCTACAGAGAAAAGTAAACAGACAACATATAGTAAGATTCAGCAAATAAACACCTGATTCAAGAAAACATTTCTATTTTCGCCAAAATAAACAAAAACAACTGATCCAAAAATGGCTGTGTTTGCAAAATCTTACTGCTTATTATCAGTATTAGTTTAATTTCATATATGTACCAACATAAAATAGAGAAGCTGGACTCCAAGTTTAAAGCTATGGGAAGAAAATGCATATTGTGGCTTGTTATGTCATGTAAGATCTATATTTAAATCACATACACAACTCGATTTTGAAAAGAAACCCTGACATTCCATTCATTTTTCGTGTTTTCAAATGAACAGAAAGACTTGTTGCATTTGTTAATTTTTATGCCATTGCCTCTTCTCTTTGTTGAAAAAAGATAAGCTATCTTGTATAATTGCACAATGGTATTACTATTCTAGTGAATTTAAACATTGTATTTTTGTCAGCAAATACGTCATTAATTCAGCGAAAAGATTTGGGGATCATCCAATCTTTCAATTTTATTTGGATGTTTTTAACAATATCAAACAAAATCATTTACTGAGGCAGCCGAAATTGGGTAATGGGGCAAAACGAAGGCAGAAGCTAATACCACATTTATTAAACCAATTTTTTGAACTTCGCTTAAATGGTACATTCACGAATTTGAATGGAAATGTGATACTAATTATTAAAGATCCCGATATAATAAACAACAATAAACTGAGGTTAAAAATATATATTTATATACGTATGTATACTTAAAAATTTAGACAAATAGTACATAAAAAATCAATATTACAAACACGTTTAATACAGCTCGATTTTATTGATTATCTTCGAAATGAGTGTCTCAAAGGCCTCTTCTATCATTGCGATATATCGCGGAGCTTCCTTGAAACATTTATGTCTAGAATTTGCTGTTAATTGCATTTGTGTTGAATTTATACCAAGAGTGCTCTGAGCGTATAGACTACGGCCCGTTAGCATTAGAATGTTGACACAGTCGTCCGTTAATATTGGAAATGCCTCGGCAAATCGTATTATCGATGGGAGAATATTACGTAGATATTTGCATTTTGCCTCTGTGGATAGCAGTGAGAGTGCCGATTGAATGGTGTTGACACAAAACTTAGAAACACTCAAACTCTTTGGTATGGCATATTTCAAGACCAAATGAGATGTCAGATCTATGGTAAAAATTTGTTTGTCCATTTCGGGCATGCTCAAAAATTCATGTAAGAAATCCAAGCATATATGCATAGATGGAACACCCTTCACCATCATTGGTATAACTTCGCGGGGATAAGTTTGAAAATGAACAAGTTTGGCGAGTGAAGGTTCTGATATGAATGACTGATGGATAAAGGAGCAGATTATGCCCTGAGTTTCACGTAACTCCAGAGATGAAACACGATCGGTGCCATTGGCGTGCATATCAGCTAGAACTTCCAATAGAATATGAACTGCTGCACTCTCTTGAGAAGCAATTAAAGCCGTTTTCAGTTCCTCCCTCTCTGTATCGACCTGGACCTGTCCATTTTTGTCGATTATTTGCCGTGATTGCATCTGAATATTTAGGTGTGCCTTTGAAGCCGCCAAACTGCCCTGCAGAATGCGCAACAATATAATTAATGTGTGTGGACACTGGAATACTTCGCGACCACATCGAAGAACCTGCAGAGGATCTAATACATTTTCTAATACCAGAGAATAACGTTGTACGTAATCTTCGGAGGCCATAATTGATGCCAGAGACTTACGCCAAAAGCTTATGGGTAGCACACCATTCAAACGTAACCAAATGTCTAGATATAGGTTTTTAATGGATCGTGGTACTTGTCGCCTGAAAACTTTGGGTAAATTACGTACAATCGCATCTGCATTTTGGGCCAATTCTTCGGCTGGTAGCTTGAGTAAGGCCTTCAGAACCGGAATGGCTTTGCCGGGTTCTATATCGAGTTTGTCAAAATTGATCCTTTTCAGTGACTCCTGAAGTTGCACACTCAAAGTGGACGGCGAACGCACTACACGCTGATTGTTGGAATGGCTGCAATGCTCCTCCAGCCAATCATCTACCATACTTAGGTGGGGATAATTCGAAACAATAAGTCTAAGAAGCGGGTGGAAAATTCCAATGTAATCGTTATGATACTGCTGTGCCTTTTGCAATAGGTATTTCATTGGTAGTTCCGAAAGAAAGCTATTTGTGTACTCCTTAAGTTTGCGTCCACTCAAGGCGGCGTTCGACAAGTTTGTTATTCGTGTTTCCTCATACAAAACTAAATAGTAGAGCATCAACAGTTGTGCTGTTAGGGGACATTGGACTTGATATTTAGATAAGTCTTCGCTGTCAAGCGACGTAATGCTTGACGGAAGAATTCCTGTTCGAGGGACAGAAATAATATCGCCAATCATATTTGTACCATCACCACTAGATCTGAATATATGCAAAATCTCGTTCTCCGAAAACGATTTGTGCATGTGGTCGACATTAACCTTTCCCTGAGGGTTGGGCACTATCAGTGTATTAACATACACCTCAATCAACGCTGGCATGACGGGATGCAACGGACGCACTGAATTGCATATTTGTTTATATATCCACGATTTGATGGGAACTTTGTGCTTTAAGAACGCCCGCGACTTCAGTAATTGATGGATACAGTGCACTGGTAGGTATCCTGGAATACTGGCGTTTAATTTGGGCGTGACCGGTACCCGAACTGCATGCGAAGCCACCACCTGTTCGGTAAACAGGTCTTGAGTAAAGACTTGCTTAATGCGATTAGTGCTATTGGGCCGAATTGGTATTTTCATCGCCAACGTGGAACACACCAATTCGCCAATAGCGGATATTTGATTGCTATGGAAGTGGATTGCCAGTAAGAGCAACATTTCGCCTAACGATGTACTGGCATCGGATCGTCGACCAAAGAAGACGTCTTCTTTTATAAGCCATTGCAGCCATTCAATCGCTTTATTTTCTAGTGAAGTTGTTGATACCAGAGAGGGGCATGCAATCAAAATGCACAAAGCCAATGAAACAAAACGCATACCAGAGGGTGTAGGCAGCGGTCGACTAGTCACCAGCTGTGCCAGTGCATTTATTTCATCATCGTTAAATCTAAAAAAATAATAATAAATTTTTGAAATATACCGAAGCACATAGTTATTGAGTGAAACTTACTTTAGGCCAGCAATTCCTCGTAAAGCACAATAAAGACGCATAATAACTGCACCCTGAACTGTGTAATCTTCGACATTGCAAGCTGCAGCATCCGAGCCACGGTTGGCCATCTGTATGATACTTAGCAATTGCTGTAACAACTCTGCCCGTACCATTATCAAGGCATCCGCCTTACGCTTTTGACTTGCATGTATATATTCGGCAAACCAAGTTCTAACATTTTGATCTTTGCCCAACAGCATTCCAGTCAAGAAAGATATCTAAATGAAATTTCGGAACGGTAATGAAAGCTGCAAAAATTCCACGTACAATCAGATACCCACCAGATCCTGAGGATATTTCAAACATAGTTTCAACATAAATGAGGGTACTTTCATAATTTCAACACATATAGCTCTCGTAGATAAGGCCTGTATAGGATTTATCTCACTCAGAGCCATTAAGAGTGCCAACTTCTGCTTGCCCTCGGTAGACTCTTCGTCGCAATTGACAATAACATGTGTCACAACATCGCGATAACAATCTGGGAAATTCGCCACTAACGCACATATTATCCGATGGCCGTTAGGAACTTGGACAAGTGTGTCGGTCAGTTCTAGTATATTAAGTAAAGATGGCAGCTCAGCCAGGGCAATGCAAAGTATATCAACAACTTCCTCTAAGTATATGCCATCGTCCAATATTTCTGATTGTACCACCGATTTCTGCTCCGACAATTGCCATTGCACATTGAATATCTCCGACAGCACAACTCTCACTTTGCGAGTCACATCGGCTCTTTCAAATCCCAGTGCAATGCCTGTTTGAAGGCCGAACTCCTGCTGCCCATCATAATACATAGACTTTTGACGAGCTTGCAGCTCTTTTTTAAGTTCCTGCTCTAGTTCGTGGTAGTTAACTTGCAAATAGGAAACGATGCTATTCACAACCTCAATACCAATGAGAACGGCTAGAATTTGTTTACGCGATTCCATAGAAGACTTGGTGTTGTCCAGAGGAGAGAGAAGGCTCATACGGACCAGGGCCGGCAAAACGGGTCTAATTTCATTCTGAGGATATGTACTTAATGCTGTTATGTCGAGATTTTGCATGGCAGCAAACACTCTAGCCGTAACATCCTGCATCCTGTATGTCTGAGCGGCGGAATAAACAACACTAGAGTTGGGTAGTTCAGGAACGGTTTTCGAGTAAAAAGTTGCAAAACTTTGAGGTTTTGGAACGGAGCTAAAATAAAAACGACGACTGAAAAAATTGAAAAACGTTCCACCTGCTAACGAATGGGAGGAGAAGACAAAATGGCCGATAAAGATGAACTCAAAATGGTATAACCGAAAGTTTACGAATGAGGTGGGATAGAGACTAAATGGAAACCGTGTTGTTTACGAATGAGGTTTAGGCAAATTATGATTAGGGATAAGTAAATCGACTTTTTTTTGTTGAAAAGTCTAATGCCATGTACAGACGAGCGTTGTTCCCTCTCTCATTCGTGGTTCGACTCTTAATTATGAAGTAATTACAGTAATTACATAGTTCAAAGGAACTACATTAAGGAACTAATATTTTCAATATTATATTATTTATTCACTGAAACAACTTATTGATTCGCCAAATTGTAAAGTGACAAATTATTTTCAATTGTAAAATGTTTCTCTACACACTCACATTTTAAATTGATATGTTGTCGTAACGTGAAAATCTAGTAGATTTACAATTTGTTTTCAATATTTTGGAACAGACATTTTATTGATTTCGGTACAGTTTTTACTAAGAATATAGATAAATATTTGGAGGTTCAGGTTTTGCTTTGTTCTCGTATTATTTTAATGGTCAACATAATTGACTTACAACACCTAATTACATTACAAAAACAACATTATTGTTATAGAAAATAAAAATTGTCAATGCCTGAAATCGAATATTAGTGTTGGTCATAGATTTTTTCGGAACATATATAACAACTTTTAGCAAATCTTCTAAATAAATATACTGTTGTATTATTGCTGTAAAATGTCACAATCAATGTACAATAATACAAGGCATCTTGAGTAGAATAACAAAAAAGCAACTATGTAGGTGGTGTCTTCTTCTGCCAAAATATAAAATAAATATACGCAACATGTGGTTGTGTTTATTTTACTTTTTTTCCAACACATAACTAAAAACGCGAAAAATTAATGAAGAGTTATGATTTCTTTCCAAAATCCAGGAGTAAATACCATGAAATATTTGTTTCCTCCATAACAATGTAATTACATCCAGACGAACACGTTAAAAATATCATTTTCATTTCAATTAAATATGAATATATTTCAATTCATTTTGAATTTACTTGACATAGTATTCTAGTAAACAATACACACACATAAACAAAATATGTATTTTGTTTTGAGAAAAAATTGTAATCAGTTGGTAGCTGTGCCATACCTTGCACTAATTATACCATAGGTACAATTTAAAATTCATCTCTCATTTTTTGGTATATTTTGGGACCAATTTAGAATAAGTTCATTGAAAAAATTATTTGAAGTGAAGACTCTACTACATTCTAACAATTTATTTCACAACTATAGTAAAAAAGACAGATTTTCACTTAATGCACAATATCATGGTACAATTATTAAAAGTATTGTGACTTGTAATGCCAAAGTCGTATACTAAATGCGTGACTGTGTGTGTAATGTTTGAAAATATAGAAAATATATATTCTAAAATTCATTCGTTTAAAGATGGATATTAATATATAAATCACTTTCCCAAATCGAAAGAAACTCTGACATTCCATGCACAAAATCAAATTGAATTTATTCTGAATTAAGTAATTTCAACTGGCAAATGGCTATAGAAAAATCAATTGATTGCTGTCAAATTAGTTTTAGTTTATGAAAATAAATTTGTGAAAACATTCTTTTAAATTGGGAGCTGTCTTCCCAATATCATAACATTTCAATGTGAATATGATATTTTTTCACGTTCGTTTACTTTCCCAGCAGTGCTGCCAGTTAAATTTCATGAAAAATCGTCAATTTTTCAGAAAAAAATCGGCATAATCGGCATTTGTATTTTTAAAAATCGGCAAAAAATCGGCAGCATATAATTTATAAATAAATTCACATTTTTTGGTTTATAACAAATCAATATTGTTTATTACATTAAAAAAATTCAATTCTGTATAAAAAAATAACATAAAAGATTCATTTTTCTACAAAAAATGTAGATTTTTTTTAATATAGTAATTGTTATGTACACTAGTGAGATCTTTCTTTCGTGTGCGCACTTTTTATTCGTTTATTTTTAATTTTGCCTTATTCGATGTAAAATGTAAACTAGACAGAGTACAATGCTGACAAAAAATGCAGATATCTAAGCCAATGAAAACGGCTGCGGCGAGTCGCCGATATTTATAATGATTTAAAGCTGCCAATTTTATATGTTTGTATGGTAACGCCGTATTAAATTAAAAAGTTAGACAATTTTTGTCGATTGTTGAAATATCGGCAATTCTGAGGCAAAAATCGGAAAATCGGCATTTTCCATTTTTAGAGTGAAAAATCGTCAAAATGCCGATAAATCGGCAAATATGGCAGCCCTGTTTCCCAGTAATAATTACTCAGTAAGAATTTGAAGAGATTAAATACGAATTTTTCCTTCTCAAGAGAGAAAACTGCAAAAAGTAAACGTACAACATCCAGTAAAAAGATTGTTTCGACACAGCTGATTAAAACAACAAACAAATTGGCGCAAACAAAAAAAAACCGCATTTTTATTAGAAAAATGGATAACAAGCGGAAAATTGATGTTGTTTGTTCCCCACAAACATTTAAAAGGGTTGTGACCGGTATGTTTTAACTATTTAATGATACAAAATCAAAATAAAATTCACAAAACAATCAATTTTCTTGAGAACAATTTTTTGTTTGTTTACAAAACATAAAAAAACAGCTGATTAAATATCAGCTGATGGTACAAGAAAATTCTTACTGAGTAAATTTTCCTTGTAAGAATTTGCAAATACTCAGTAACACAACTGTCAAATCTGCTCTCTCAATTCACTCTCTTTTACTGGACTTTTGGGTAAACGAACAACATTTTGTAATAATTTGTACAAATTCGTATTCGAACGAACTTAATGTTTCAATTTTTTCCTCGATCTTTTAGATCTTAAAAATGGATTTGACATAGTCTTGATTTAGATTAGACCTAATTCTTGTTTCTCTTTTGAACTTTTTGCGTTTATACAAGGCAATTCGGTTTCCAAAATATTTTTCTATTTGTTGGTTTTTCACATTTAAATCTATATAAAATGTCAACAAATACGAAATACACAAAACGAATTGCCAGAAAATTGTCGTATTTTTTTTTCATTTCTATTCCCCTTGCCCCTCTCTCCTACAAACAAAGACTTGCCGCAATAAACTCGCCTAATCTAAATCAAGACATATTTTTGTAATACCGCCTTATAGTACGTTTACATTTAACCGGATTTCGTTAACCCAGTGGGTTTCAATTGTCAATTCCTTTCCATATATGTCATATAAATCCTCATAATGTAGGTTAACTCGGTAAAAAGTTTTACAAAACATTTTGCTACACTTGGGAAGTTGAATATTTTAGAACGCCTCGGCAGAATATAGACAACGTTGTAAATTGTAAAGCATAATACTATAATTTAAAATGAAATATTTTTTACACATTTTGGTCCTCATGGAAAGTAATTATTATTAATATTAGCTGTGTTCCCAAACCTGCAATATAGTACTATATTGTACTAGTTTTGCAATTTTTGCTAGAAAAGCGTTTCCTTACACCGAAAGAGTTAAAACCAAAATGGCGTTCTCTTCCTATTTTCTGCAAGACCAATTTGGCCTAGCACGAAATAGTAAATGTAGTAAATTATGAATTTGACATTTGATTGCCAGAGATATACAGTCCGAAATAAAGCATATGAAAGTTAGCGCTTCAACAAAAGGGGCACACGCACAGACACACACACATTTGCTTGAAAAAAAAAAACAAATAAGAAATTTAAAAATTGACAAACAGATTTTTTTCTCTTTTGGAGGATAGCGAATATGAATGGCTGGCAGAAGATTCAGATGAAGATACTATAGAATGAAGACTTGGGTTGGTTAATCGTACTAACCAATGTGTGTACATTGGTCCAAAATATCTTGGGCTTAAGTCAAGTTTAGGGGCTCCACTTGGATCGCTTTGACATTTTTACAGTAAATAGTCCTCTGTGAACTGATTACAGTGATATATATTTTATGGGAAGAAATTAATACTTCCCGAGATATGGGCCTTGAAAGTTCGGAGAGTATATTGTTTTAATCAGCCGTATCATTTTATCATTTTAAAGGTTATGGTTTGTGCTATATAACTAGATGAAGAATATATTGCGTAGCCATGTATGCGCCTGTCCATGTGTGAAAGTCTTACTCTTAAGTTCTCTTAAAAAGTACCCGATATAACCTTTTAATGATACCCATATTGCCTTGGTGGCAATAGAAAAGGGTTGTTTTAAATAAAATATGTTCCGAAATTGCAAGGCCAATATTTCGGGAAGTATGCATTTCCCCACATGGAATGTATATCACTGTAATCATCACAAGGAGGGCTACTTACGGTAATCATATCAAAATGATACGAGTGGGGCCCCTAAACTTGACTTGTTCCATATCTTGTTGTTCTAGTTCGCTAAAACATTCTAATCATTATGGGAGCGTCCAGCCATATAAGACTTTCCGGGCTTGGAGTCGCCGGAAACTCCACTTCCATATATTCCATAATGTTTTCCTCTAAATTATGCAAATAAAAAAATAAACAATAAATATTAATATTATCAAAATCATGCAATGGACGCCGTTTAACTTTTTGTTATTGTTTATTGTGTGCATTAGGTTTCTGTAGTCTTTTTTTGTCCTTAACAAATGCAATTTTTGATTTTGACGTTTCTTCATGTTTTAAATATTTTTCGTTCCTTTACTTTTTGCGCAAATCTTGTATGTGAGAGTAATTTTTGATAGTTCGCTCTTTTACTAGCTTTACTATCAAAAAGTACGGGAACGAACCTATTATGAAAATATTGATTGATAAATTGCCACAGAAATAATGAAACCAGTGAAAT